TGTTTTCCTGAACAGTGAGAAGTAGTAACAAGAAAATTTTCTTCTCTCCTATCAGGGGAAGTGGGAGGATTGGAAGGAAAAGAGAGGATGGAGTCACTCTGGTTTGAAAGGAATATAGTGAAGGAAGGAATATAGTGAAGAGCCTTTGTTGCTACACACACTGCCACTCCCGTTCACATGCTTTAGTCAGTCTCAGAATCTGCATGTAGCCACATGAACAGGTCCTTTCTCACCAGACAGGACAGTACTTTTCCACCGCGCCCCTGCTTTACATTCCCTTTCTCTTGTCTCAACACTGGCCACTCCAGGAATCTCTGATCCATTTACTCAGGTGACTCAAGTTTAAGCATGCCCACTTGTATGTACTTCTTAAGTCAAAGCAGTGAAATTGAAGGAATATTGCTTTGAAATCAGACTGACCTGGAATCAAATTGTGATGCCTTCGGGAAATTATTTAAACCCTCCCAGTCCCAGTTTACTTATCCATAAAATAAGAATAATAATGCCTCTTTATAGGTTGTTGTGAGGATTAAATTAAATACATGCACTTGCTTAGCCCCATAGCTCAGCAAATGTCAATTTCCTAGTCTAAGGGCGATTCCCTATGTGAACATTTTACATTTCATAGAAGTTTCTTGGGAATGAGAACGATGTCCTTTGTTGTTTCCTTATCTCTCACACCACCCAATAAAGAGCTCTTTTAATAAGAACTGATCAAATGAAAATCTCAGTAACATTAAATGTTTCCCTTCATTTTTACTTTTCACCAGATTTCCCTCCTCTTAGGTTCCCGTGCTCCTATAGTTGTCCTTTACCTGAAGATTTCTGCCTCTGCATTGTCAAACACTCGAATTCTTTTAAAAAAAAAAAAAATCAAATCAGTAAAACATTAATTCAAAATGAGCTATTTATCTTCCATGGTAAGGAATTGCTCTCCACACAGGCAAAGAATTCAGTTGGGACCTGCTACATAGCTGAAATCTCCATTCCCCTGTAACCTCCCCAGCTGCACTGGTAAGTTCCTTTGCTCCAGGCAGCCTCTACCTCAACAAAATGGCAGACTGGACAAAGTCCTCCCAAGACAATTCCCGTTTATTTCTCCCTACCCAGTTCCCAAGTGGGCCATCATCCTGTCCCCATAGCTTTTCCATGCTGATTTTCCCCATCAGCTCTTCCCCGCAGCCCCAGGAAGCACACTAGCTCCAGTTCTTTCTTTCTCTCCTCCCTGTTTATGATTTATATTCTCATAGGACTCAAATCCCAACTATGTCTTATGAAGCAGTGAAAAATAATTTATATTATATCTAATAAAACTTCAGCTGAGCTTGCACCAAACGATTTTGAAATCCAATTTAGTGGGGTCCCTATGTTGTCCTGATGCTGACTCTGTTACTTTGGGAAATGTTATACCTGTGGTTTCTCTTTGTTATCTGCAGGGGCAACTCTTACCTTTCAGAAGCAAGTCCCTTCCTAAGTAAGCCCAGACAGAAGGGCTGGCTGAGCTGTCCCAGTCAGCAGGCTCTTCTGTCCAGGTTTGCTCTGACCTCCTCCATTGCACAGCATCATCACCAGGACCAAGGTGGCCCAGAGTCAGTGATGAGTGGCAGCTGGAGCACCCTGAGCTCTGGGCTCTAAGTGGGTGGGGAAACAAGAGGAGACAAAATATTCAAGGGGAAGGAAAGTATATAAAAATAATGTCCTATGGTTCTACATATGTGCCACCGTGGTTCCAGAATTCTGCAGAGAAAGGGCCTTCAGGTGGCAATCTTATCAAGAGTAGGAAGAAACTATGTTTCTATAGCTCTTTACTTAATATTGAGACATCAGTTCTTCATCTCAGAGTGAGAGTATGACAGAAATTTGGGGGACAAAAACACCCTAAGCAGCCCTCTCGTTGTTGCCACCACTGAGTACCTTATCATATGTCACAAGGATTCTCCTTGGAGGAATGTGAGATGGGGTTTTTGTGGGGCTCAGGACCAATAGCATTTTGGTAGTGAAATAATGAAAACCCTGACTTTGGGGTCTGTTGGAGCCATAGGACTTTCCTTTGATAGGTGGAAAACATTTTTTGAGGTTTGTACCAAATGAACACAGAGGTGAGGCCAGATGTGAGCTGAGAAACTGTGTAAAAGAAGAAGGGAGGCACAAACACCTCTACTCTCTCTATAGCCTGTGCCTGGTCTGGATCTTCCAGCAGGACCAGTAGAGCCATGGAGAGAGGAAACCACACGAGTGCCTCTGAGTTCATTCTCCTAGGGCTCTCCAGCCAGCCTGAGAGGCAGGAGCTGATCTTCTGGCTTTTCCTGGTCATGTACCTGGTCGGAGTAGCAGGGAATTTGCTCATCATCCTTGCCATTGGTTCAGACTCTCACCTCCATACACCCATGTACTTCTTCCTCAGCAATCTCTCCCTGGTGGATTTCTGCTTCATCTCCACCACAGTCCCCCAAATGCTTGTGAACATCCAAATGCAGACTCAGTCCATTTCCTATGGTGGTTGCCTAGCTCAGATCTACTTCTGCATTTTGCTTGCCAACATGGACAACTTCCTCCTGATGGCAATGTCTTATGACCGTTATGTGGCCATCTGCCACCCCCTGCACTACTCCACTATGATGAGTCTGCAAACCAGTGCCCTGATGCTGGGGAGCTCCTGGCTCATCGCCGGCTTTCATGCCTTGCTACACACCCTCCTCATGGCTCAGCTGGAGTTCTGTGCCAGCAACATCATCCCTTACTTCTTTTGTGACCTTGTTCCCCTGCTCCAACTCTCCTGTTCCAACACCCAACTCAACCAGCTCATGATTCTGCTGGTGGGAGGCTTGATCGTCCTCATTCCCTTCCTTGGCATTCTCATCTCCTACATCCACATTATGTCTGCTGTGCTCAAGGTCCCATCTGCCCGGGGCAAACAAAAGGCCTTTTCTACCTGTGGCTCCCACCTCGCTATAGTCATCCTCTTCTATGGGACCATCATAGGGGTCTACCTGAATCCCTCATCCTCCTACTCAACTGACAAGGATTCACTGGCTTCTGTGATGTATATGGTGGTCACTCCCATGCTGAACCCCTTCATCTACTGCCTGAGAAACAAAGACATGAAGGGAGCTCTAAGGAAACTGTTTGGTGTGAAGATTTTATCCTGTGGGCTGTGACAGCAGAGTTCCCCCTCCGAGCCTTTGTGCTGGAAAAGGATGAACCCCAGGGACAAACTGCACATACAGAGGGCAAGAGGAACACAGACCTCATTATCCTGGGTTGTCACCATGGCCATGATTCCATAAGTAATTTGCAAGTAATTTCTTGGCCCCTGCAAAGACTGCCCAAACTACTGAGAAGGGAATAAACTCTCTCCTAAAGACAGAACCACATAAACAGATGCAAACTAGCTTTATCTGCAGACTTTCTGAAGAGAGTTGAAAAGGCTATACATTCCACATGAAAAAAGATGAACTCATAGAACTCTGTGACCTGTGCCAATACCTCTGCCAAAGGGATTCCCTCTGAAAGCCTCACTCACCCCCATGTTCTTTAAATCCTTAACCCTCATGTATCCCAATTTCCAAACTCTTCTGCTCCACCCCCACTTCCTCAACTATCATCCTCACATTCTGAGTTGAATCTAGCTCTGGGGACAGGCTAATCATCCTCCCCAAAGCTATCCTACTATTGGCCCTGACCCCTGCTGGACAGAGTTCCATAGTTCTAGAT